AATTTTACGGCACAATTGCTGAGTTTTTTCTCCGCTCGTATTTATCACCAAACATGGTATTATTGAAATATTGAGGTCTCAGTCAAAGTATAGCTCGTACTGCTTCAAAATCTAGAAAAATAGCTTTAAAATAATGTGAAAGAGCAGCCTTTAATCTTAATTTTACGGCACAATTGCTGAGTTTTTTGCTCCGCTCGTATTTAGCACCAAACATGGTATTATTGTGCTTAATACGAGCGGAGCAAAAAACTTTCAATTGTGCCGTAAAATTAAGAGTCAAGGATGTTCTTTCACACTATTTTAAAGCCTTTATTCTAGATTTTAAAGCAGTACGAGCTATACTTTGACTGAGACCTCAACATTTCAATAATACCATGTTTGGTGCTTAATACGAGCGGAGCAAAAAACTTTCAATTGTGCCGTAAAATATAGAGTCAAGGCTGTTCTTTCACTTTATTTTAAAGCTTTTTTTCTAGATTTTAAAGCAGTACGAGCTATACTTTACTGAGAACTCAACATTTCAGTAATACCATGTTTGGTGCTTAATACGAGCGGAGCAAAAAACTTTCAATTGTGCCGTAAAATTAAGAGTCAAGGCTGTTCTTTCACACTATTTTAAAGCTTTTTTTCTAGATTTTAAAGCAGTACGAGCTATACTTTGACTGAGAACTCAACATTTCAGTAATACCATGTTTGGTGCTTAATACGAGCGGAGCAAAAAACTTTCAATTGTGCCATAAATTTAAGAGTCAAGGCTGTTCTTTCACACTATTTTAAAGTTTTTTTTCTAGATTTTAAAGCAGTACGAGCTATACTTTGACTGAGAACTCAACATTTCAGTAATACCATGTTTGGTGCTTAATACGAGCGGAGCAAAAAACTTTCAATTGTGCCGTAAAATTAAGAGTCAAGGCTGTTCTTTCACACTATTTTAAAGCTTTTTTTCTAGGCACAATTGCTCAGTTTTTTGCTCCGCTCGTAATTAGCGCCAAACATGGTATTATTGAAATCTTGAGATCTCAGTCAAAGTATAGCTCGTACCACATTAAAATCTAGAGAAAAAGCTTTAAAATTAAATGAAACAAGAGCGTGAACACTTAATTTTACGGCACAATTGCTCAGTTTTTTGCTCCGCTCGTATTTAGCGCCAAACATGGTATTATTGAAATCTTGAGATCTCAGTCAAAGTATATATCGTACCACATTAAAATCTAGAGAAAAAGCTTTAAAATTAAATGAAACAAGAGCCTGAACACTTAATTTTACGGCACAATTGCTCAGTTTTTTGCTCCGCTCGTATTTAGCGCCAAACATGGTATTATTGAAATCTTGAGATCTCAGTCAAAGTATAGCTCGTACCACATTGAAATCTAGAGAAAATGCTTTAAAATTAAATGAAACAAGAGCCTGAACACTTAATTTTACGGCACAATTGCTCAGTTTTTTGCTCCGCTCGTATTTAGCGCCAAACATGGTATTATTGAAATCTTGAGATCTCACTCAAAGTATAGCTCGTACCACATTAAAATCTAGAGAAAAAGCTTTAAAATTAAATGAAACAAGAGCCTTGACTCTTAATTTTACGGCACAATTGAAAGTTTTTTGCTCCGCTCGTATTAAGCTCCAAACATGGTATTATTGAAATGTTGAGGTCTCAGTCAAAGTATAACTCGTACTGCTTTAAAATCTAGAAAAAAAGCTTTGCAATAGAGTGAAAGAACAGCCTTGACTCTTAATTTTACGGCACAATTGAAAGTTTTTTGCTCCGCTCGTATTAAGCACCAAACATGGTATTATTGAAATGTTGAGGTCTCAGTCAAAGTATAGCTCGTACTGCTTTAAAATCTAGAAAAAAAGCTTTAAAATATTGTGAAAGAACAGCCTGGACTCTTAATTTTACGGCACAATTGAAAGTTTTTAGCTCCGCTCGTATATTAAGCACCAAACATGGTATTATATAAATGTTGACGTCTCAGTCAAAGTATAGCTCGTACTGCTTTAAAATCTAGAAAAAAAGCTTTGCAATAGAGTGAAAGAACAGCCTTGACTCTTATTTTTACGGCACAATTGAAAGTTTTTTGCTCCGCTCGTATTAAGCACCAAACATGGTATTATTGAAATGTTGAGGTCTCAGTCAAAGTATAGCTCGTACTGCTTTAAAATCTAGAAAAAAAGCTTTAAAATATTGTGAAAGAACAGCCTGGACTCTTAATTTTACGGCACAATTGAAAGTTTGTAGCTCCGCTCGTATATTAAGCACCAAACATGGTATTATATAAATGTTGACGTCTCAGTCAAAGTATAGCTCGTACTGCTTTAAAATCTAGAAAAAAAGCTTTAAAATTAAATGAAACAAGAGCCTGAACACTTAATTTTACGGCACAATTGAAAGTTTTTAGCTCCGCTCGTATATTAAGCACCAAACATGGTATTATATAAATGTTGACGTCTCAGTCAAAGTATAGCTCGTACTGCTTTAAAATCTAGAAAAAAAGCTTTAAAATTAAATGAAACAAGAGCCTGAACACTTAATTTTACGGCACAATTGCTCAATTTTTTGCTCCGCTCGTATTTAGCGCCAAACATGGTATTATTGAAATCTTGAGATCTCAGTCAAAGTATAGCTTGTACCACATTAAAATCTAGAGAAAAAGCTTTAAAATTAAATGAAACAAGAGCCTGAACACTTAATTTTACGGCACAATTGCTCAGTTTTTTGCTCCGCTCGTATTTAGCGCCAAACATGGTATTATTGAAATCTTGAGATCTCAGTCAAAGTATAGCTCGTACCACATTAAAATCTAGAGAAAAAGCTTTAAAATTAAATGAAACAAGAGCCTGAACACTTAATTTTACGGCACAATTGCTCAGTTTTTTGCTCCGCTCGTATTAAGCGCCAGACATGGTATTATTGAAATCTTGAGATCTCAGTCAAAGTATAGCTCGTACCACATTGAAATCTAGAGAAAATGCTTTAAAATTAAATGAAACAAGAGCCTGAACACTTAATTTTACGGCACAATTGCTCAGTTTTTTTGCTCCGCTCGTATTTAGCGCCAAACATGGTATTATTGAAATCTTGAGATCTCAGTCAAAGTATAGCTTGTACCACATTAAAATCTAGAGAAAAAGCTTTAAAATTAAATGAAACAAGAGCCTGAACACTTAATTTTACGGCACAATTGCTCAGTTTTTTTGCTCCGCTCGTATTTAGCGCCAAACATGGTATTATTGAAATCTTGAGATCTCAGTCAAAGTATAGCTCGTACCACATTAAAATCTAGAGAAAAAGCTTTAAAATTAAATGAAACAAGAGCCTAAACACTTAATTTTACGGCACAATTGCTCAGTTTTTTGCTCCGCTCGTATTTAGCGCCAAACATGGTATTATTGAAATCTTGAGATCTCAGTCAAAGTATAGCTCGTACCACATTGAAATCTAGAGAAAATGCTTTAAAATTAAATGAAACAAGAGCCTGAACACTTAATTTTACGGCACAATTGCTCAGTTTTTTGCTCCGCTCGTATTTAGCGCCAAACATGGTATTATTGAAATCTTGAGATCTCACTCAAAGTATAGCTCGTACCACATTAAAATCTAGAGAAAAAGCTTTAAAATTAAATGAAAGAAGAGCCTTGACTCTTAATTTTACGGCACAATTGAAAGTTTTTTGCTCCGCTCGTATTAAGCTCCAAACATGGTATTATTGAAATGTTGAGGTCTCAGTCAAAGTATAGCTCGTACTGCTTTAAAATCTAGAAAAAAAGCTTTGCAATAGAGTGAAAGAACAGCCTTGACTCTTAATTTTACGGCACAATTGAAAGTTATTTGCTCCGCTCGTATTAAGCACCAAACATGGTATTATTGAAATGTTGAGGTCTCAGTCAAAGTATAGCTCGTACTGCTTTAAAATCTAGAAAAAACGCTTTAAAATATTGTGAAAGAACAGCCTGGACTCTTAATTTTACGGCACAATTGAAAGTTTTTTGCTCCGCTCGTATTAAGCTCCAAACATGGTATTATTGAAATGTTGAGGTCTCAGTCAAAGTATAGCTCGTACTGCTTTAAAATCTAGAAAAAAAGCTTTGCAATAGAGTGAAAGAACAGCCTTGACTCTTAATTTTACGGCACAATTGAAAGTTTTTTGCTCCGCTCGTATTAAGCACCAAACATGGTATTATTGAAATGTTGAGGTCTCAGTCAAAGTATTGCTCGTACTGCTTTAAAATCTAGAAAAAACGCTTTAAAATATTGTGAAAGAACAGCCTGGACTCTTAATTTTACGGCACAATTGAAAGTTTTTAGCTCCGCTCGTATATTAAGCACCAAACATGGTATTATATAAATGTTGACGTCTCAGTCAAAGTATAGCTCGTACTGCTTTAAAATCTAGAAAAAAAGCTTTGCAATAGAGTGAAAGAACAGCCTTGACTCTTATTTTTACGGCACAATTGAAAGTTTTTTGCTCCGCTCGTATTAAGCACCAAACATGGTATTATTGAAATGTTGAGGTCTCAGTCAAAGTATAGCTCGTACTGCTTTAAAATCTAGAAAAAAAGCTTTAAAATATTGTGAAAGAACAGCCTGGACTCTTAATTTTACGGCACAATTGAAAGTTTTTAGCTCCGCTCGTATATTAAGCACCAAACATGGTATTATATAAATGCCCTGCGAGAAATTTGATATCCATTTTATATCAAAAAAATGTCTTCCCGTGACATAAGGATATCCGAAAAGTATGTTCAAGGGACATCCGGAGGATATGAAAATGCCCATCAATGTGATATCCCCATCGGATATAAAAAAAAGTGATACATTTTGGACACCCTTCATTTCATGGTCGCGATTTTTTTCTTTTTTAATTTTATGGTAATTAGATTAAAATAATTTTTTACTTCATTATATATAATGTATTATTTTCAAACACAATTAACAAACAACTTTTTGCTTAACCAAATTTAACATTAATTAAATTAAACCATTAACATATCAAATATGTTAAAAATACAATATACATAATTCAACAATAAACTTCATCATTTAGATCAAAATATAATATATAACCCCAACATACAATAATTACAGAATTGCATTGTAAAATTTCAACCTGTTTGCAGTCGTTAATTAAGAAAATGGTCATAAATGCATTTTAAATAATATTTTTCCAGTGATAATATAATCATGTGCCTATGTGCATAAATTTATAAGCCACATCAAAATTTTGAACATAAAATTTATATACAAAATTAAAATTTGAACAAAATTTAAATTTTGAACATAAAATTTAAAAACTAACATATTTTGAACATAACATTTAAATAAAAAAATTAAATTTTGAACATAAAAATTCTCCCAGAAGAAATTTTGACACAATTTTACTCAAATATTCACAATTATAGATTTATCCACCATCAACTATCATAAAAAATATACTTTTTATCACATTTTGATGAAAAGAAATTTTAATTTAATTTTCTTTGTAGTCTTTTTAAAATTTAGAGAAGCCGACCTTGTTGATGAAACGGGTGCGCCTTGTGTTCTCTATCTTTTCTTCAAGAACAGGGAGCCACCAGGTGGCTCTTTTCCAGGAAGCAACTGACCAGGTTTCCGAAAACAGGATCTAAAATTAATTTATGAATTAATATTCAGTATTTGAATTTATTACATAAAATTAAAAATTATATTATTTGCCAGATAATTTTAAATTTATTTGATATGATTTGTATTTTTAAACTGATGAGAGGCTTTAAGTTTTTCAAAAATGTTTTAAAATTTAAATAATTCAATCAAAAATTTAAAAAAATGTAGTACCTTCAAAATTTGGAGATCGGACTCCCCTCTTCACTTGAAATGCGCCAAGGTGTCCGAAGATTGGCCTGCGTCGTTTCCTCGTTTGCCGTTTTAACGTCCATCAAAAAACTGAAACAGAAAATTCTATTTATTACTTCGTTCATTTTTATTACAGAAATGTAAAGATAAATATTTTTAAATGTTTTAAAATTTAAGTAATTCAATAAAATTTAAAAAAATGTAGTACCTTCAAAATTTGGAGATCGGACTCCCCTCTTCACTTGAAATGCGCCAAGGTGACCGAAGATTGGCCTGCGTCGTTTCCTCGTTTGCCGTTTTTAACGTCCATCTAAAATCTGAAACAGAAAATTTAATGCTATTTATTACTTCATTTTTATTACAGAAATGTAAAGATAAATTTTAGAGTTAATTCTGTATTACATAAATGCTGTACTTTGTGCAATTATGATAAAATTGTATGTATTTACGTATGGCACGCAATATGAAGAGAAAATCTGATGGAACCCACAATTATTATTAATTACATAAAGATTAAAAACTTTAAAAAATATCAATAAGCGATCTTACCTTAATTTGACAAAGAATTTTCGCTGAATTTCGGCCCCGCGCGGCCGCGGCCCAACTGCGGAACTGCGCGTCGTCAACCGTCAACACGGTCAAAACTCGGGGCTTTCGCCGAGTTAAGCTCGCGGGGCTTCCTGTGTTGGCAGAAATCTTCACATCGGCGACGTTTCAAACTTTTTTTGCGCTGAATTTTAGCCCCGGCTGGCACAAAATTCATCGTCAACAGTCAAACTCCGGGCTTTCGCTGAGTTTCGCTCCCGGCCGGGGCTTGCCGTTGGCATAAATCTTCACATATCGGCGGCGTTTCAAACACAATTAGTAGCACTGCACATTAATTAAAAGTTTACATTCCCAAAAAACCCCACAAATGCAAGAAAACAACAACATTTGAGAGATAACCGACCGTGGCGACCGTGCTGTGTTGTTTTTCAACGGCCACTTGAAATTGGTACTTTTACCAGATTCAAATGAAGAGCGAGTGGCGTCGGGCTGACGTCAGCGGCAAGGAGAGTTTTGATTGGCTATGCGCGCGCAGACAAAGGGGGATTTTCACTTTGCGCGCGAGGAGAGAAATCGCGTACTCGCTTTTTCCACACGCAAATATATTTATATTTATAAAATTTACTATTTAAACATTTAGAGTTAAAAATTACTTCTATAGAAAATTTAATTATTATTGAACGCCTGAAAATTAAAAAAAATATTATCGTTAAATAAACTGTAAATTAATTATTATTTGTTAAAATTAATTAAAATAAATTTGAAGGACTGGAAGTTTAATTAAATAAATATAAATTGATTTAAGTATTTTAATTATTATTACAATAATGATATTGAATTTTTTAATAAAAAATAATTTAAATAAATTTAGTAATTATGAATTTTTTTATAACAGTATTTTTTTTTAATAATTAAATAATTAATAAATAAATCAATCCAAATATCTTTTGTCAAAATCGTCAAAATTAATAAAACCTTTTCTGGCGAACGTTCCGAACATCATTAAATCCAAACCTGAACGGGTTATTATTTTTAACAGATTCTGTGGTCCATAATTTTTACCCCTAGACCCACAGTTGAGGCTAAGTCCCGACCCGACATAAAAATTTTTGACGACCATCTAGAAATCGCGATTTAAATATTCAAATAGTTTCTAGAAAATTTCGAAGGCTAAAATATTTGCATTCTGAAAAGGTAACTGTCCCGTCGTAACGTCCCCAATGTATCAATTGGACGTTATTCGAGAGACATATTTATCGTTGAATTTTTTTTTTATAATTTACGTTTTGAAATAGTTTTAAGTCATTTTTGAGTAAGTCAAATTTGTATCAATCTAGGATACTTTTCGGACAGGTGCCTTGGTCAGTCCGTCGTTTCGGAGAATGTCTCGATGACATCAACTGAATATCATTTTCGGACAACGCGTTTCATAGATAGTTGGGAGGTGCCACGCAAAAAATATTATAAAATCATGTATCCTTAACACCCAGAGAGTATAAAAACGATGATAACCCAATTTTGAAAAAGTGTCCCAAAAGTATCAAGGATATCCCAGTTCTCGCAGGGTGTTGACGTCTCAGTCAAAGTATAGCTCGTACTGCTTTAAAATCTAGAAAAAAAGCTTTAAAATTAAATGAAACAAGAGCCTGAACACTTAATTTTACGGCACAATTGCTCAGTTTTTTGCTCCGCTCGTATTTAGCGCCAAACATGGTATTATTGAAATCTTGAGATCTCAGTCAAAGTATAGCTCGTACCACATTAAAATCTAGAGAAAAAGCTTTAAAATTAAATGAAACAAGAACCTGAACACTTAATTTTACGGCACAATTGCTCAGTTTTTTGCTCCGCTCGTATGTAGCGCCAAACATGGTATTATTGAAATCTTGAGATCTCAGTCAAAGTATAGCTCGTACCACATTGAAATCTAGAGAAAATGCTTTAAAATTAAATGAAACAAGAGCCTGAACACTTAATTTTACGGCACAATTGCTCAGTTTTTTTGCTCCGCTCGTATTTAGCGCCAAACATGGTATTATTGAAATCTTGAGATCTCAGTCAAAGTATAGCTTGTACCACATTAAAATCTAGAGAAAAAGCTTTAAAATTAAATGAAACAAGAGCCTGAACACTTAATTTTACGGCACAATTGCTCAGTTTTTTGCTCCGCTCGTATGTAGCGCCAAACATGGTATTATTGAAATCTTGAGATCTCAGTCAAAGTATAGCTCGTACCACATTAAAATCTAGAGAAAAAGCTTTAAAATTAAATGAAACAAGAGCCTGAACACTTAATTTTACGGCACAATTGCTCAGTTTTTTGCTCCGCTCGTATTTAGCGCCAGACATGGTATTATTGAAATCTTGAGATCTCAGTCAAAGTATAGCTCGTACCACATTGAAATCTAGAGAAAATGCTTTAAAATTAAATGAAACAAGAGCCTGAACACTTAATTTTACGGCACAATTGCTCAGTTTTTTGCTCCGCTCGTATTTAGCGCCAAACATGGTATTATTGAAATCTTGAGATCTCAGTCAAAGTATAGCTCGTACCACATTAAAATCTAGAGAAAAAGCTTTAAAATTAAATGAAACAAGAGCCTTGACTCTTAATTTTACGGCACAATTGAAAGTTTTTTGCTCCGCTCGTATTAAGCACCAAACATGGTATTATTGAAATGTTGAGGTCTCAGTCAAAGTATAGCTCGTACTGCTTTAAAATCTAGAAAAAAAGCTTTAAAATATTGTGAAAGAACAGCCTGGACTCTTAATTTTACGGCACAATTGAAAGTTTTTAGCTCCGCTCGTATATTAAGCACCAAACATGGTATTCTATAAATGTTGACGTCTCAGTCAAAGTATAGCTCGTACTGCTTTAAAATCTAGAAAAAAAGCTTTGCAATAGAGTGAAAGAACAGCCTTGACTCTTATTTTTACGGCACAATTGAAAGTTTTTTGCTCCGTTCGTATTAAGCACCAAACATGGTATTATTGAAATGTTGAGGTCTCAGTCAAAGTATAGCTCGTACTGCTTTAAAATCTAGAAAAAAAGCTTTGCAATAGAGTGAAAGAACAGCCTTGACTCTTAATTTTACGGCACAATTGAAAGTTTTTTGCTCCGCTCGTATTAAGCACCAAACATGGTATTATTGAAATGTTGAGGTCTCAGTCAAAGTATAGCTCGTACTGCTTTAAAATCTAGAAAAAAAGCTTTAAAATATTGTGAAAGAACAGCCTGGACTCTTAATTTTACGGCACAATTGAAAGTTTTTAGCTCCGCTCGTATATTAAGCACCAAACATGGTAATATATAAATGTTGACGTCTCAGTCAAAGTATAGCTCGTACTGCTTTAAAATCTAGAAAAAAAGCTTTGCAATAGAGTGAAAGAACAGCCTTGACTCTTATTTTTACGGCACAATTGAAAGTTTTTTGCTCCGCTCGTATTAAGCACCAAACATGGTATTATTGAAATGTTGAGGTCTAAGTCAAAGTATAGCTCGTACTGCTTTAAAATCTAGAAAAAAAGCTTTAAAATATTGTGAAAGAACAGCCTGGACTCTTAATTTTACGGCACAATTGAAAGTTTTTAGCTCCGCTCGTATATTAAGCACCAAACATGGTATTATATAAATTTTGACGTCTCAGTCAAAGTATAGCTCGTACTGCTTTAAAATCTAGAAAAAAAGCTTTGCAATAGAGTGAAAGAACAGCCTGGACCCTTAATTTTACGGCACAATTGAAAGTTTTTTAGCTCCGCTCGTATATTAAGCACCAAACATGGTATTATATAAATGTTGACGTCTCAGTCAAAGTATAGCTCGTACTGCTTTAAAATCTAGAAAAAAAGCTTTAAAATAGTGTGAAAGAACAGCCTTGACTCTTAATTTTACGGCACAATTGCCGAGTTTGTGCTCCGCTCGTATTAAGCACCCAAACATGGTATTATTGAAATCTTGAGATCTCAGTCAAAGTATAGCTCGTACCACATTAAAATCTAGAGAAAAAGCTTTAAAATTAAATGAAACAAGAGCCTGAACACTTAATTTTACGGCACAATTGCTCAGTTTTTTGCCCCGCTCGTATTTAGCGCCAAACATGGTATTATTGAAATCTTGAGATCTCAGTCAAAGTATAGCTCGTACCACATTAAAATCTAGAGAAAAAGCTTTAAAATTAAATGAAACAAGAGCCTGAACACTTAATTTTACGGCACTATTGCTCAGTTTTTTGCTCCGCTCGTATTTAGCGCCAAACATGGTATTATTGAAATCTTGAGATCTCAGTCAAAGTATAGCTCGTACCACATTAAAATCTAGAGAAAAAGCTTTAAAATTAAATGAAACAAGAGCCTGAACACTTAATTTTACGGCACAATTGCTCAGTTTTTTGCTCCGCTCGTATTTAGCGCCAAACATGGTATTATTGAAATCTTGAGATCTCAGTCAAAGTATAGCTCGTACCACATTAAAATCTAGAGAAAAAGCTTTAAAATTAAATGAAACAAGAGCCTAAACACTTAATTTTACGGCACAATTGCTCAGTTTTTTGCTCCGCTCGTATTTAGCGCCAAACATGGTATTATTGAAATCTTGAGATCTCAGTCAAAGTATAGCTCGTACCACATTGAAATCTAGAGAAAATGCTTTAAAATTAAATGAAACAAGAGCCTGAACACTTAATTTTACGGCACAATTGCTCAGTTTTTTGCTCCGCTCGTATTTAGCGCCAAACATGGTATTATTGAAATCTTGAGATCTCAGTCAAAGTATAGCTCGTACCACATTAAAATCTAGAGAAAAAGCTTTAAAATTAAATGAAACAAGAGCCTGAACACTTAATTTTACGGCACAATTGCTCAGTTTTTTGCTCCGCTCGTATTTAGCGCCAAACATGGTATTATTGAAATCTTGAGATCTCAGTCAAAGTATAGCTCGTACCACATTAAAATCTAGAGAAAAAGCTTTAAAATTAAATGAAACAAGAGCCTGAACACTTAATTTTACGGCACAATTGCTCAGTTTTTTGCTCCGCTCGTATTTAGCGCCAAACATGGTATTATTGAAATCTTGAGATCTCAGTCAAAGTATAGCTCGTACCACATTAAAATCTAGAGAAAAAGCTTTAAAATTAAATGAAACAAGAGCCTGAACACTTAATTTTACGGCACAATTGCTCAGTTTTTTGCTCCGCTCGTAATTAGCGCCAAACATGGTATTATTGAAATCTTGAGATCTCAGTCAAAGTATAGCTCGTACCACATTAAAATCTAGAGAAAAAGCTTTAAAATTAAATGAAACAAGAGCCTGAACACTAAATTTTACGGCACAATTGCTCAGTTTTTTGCTCCACTCGTATTTAGCGCCAAACATGGTATTATTGAAATCTTGAGATCTCAGTCAAAGTATAGCTCGTACCACATTGAAATCTAGAGAAAATGCTTTAAAATTAAATGAAAAAAGAGCCTGAACACTTAATTTTACGGCACAATTGCTCAGTTTTTTGCTCCGCTCGTATTTAGCGCCAAACATGG